GATTCTCTCGACGTTAACATACCTTGTAACATCTTCTCTTTATCTCATTGGCTTCTTCGAATGGCTCATAACGATAGACATGAGCTGAGGAGTTCTCATCTAATTAAAAGATTCTACCTAAAGGTTGTTCCGAGACTTCAGAAGCCGGTTTTATGGCATCGGTGTAAAAGGAAGCAGAACAACGTGGACACTCGAGTGCTGAAGGTGTCTTCAAGAGTGTAGAGCCCAAGAACATAAACAAACTCCTAAGCAAGTGAGCTTTACAACATCATCAACAAACATTGATCAGTAATATTGAGATGCTCAGAGGCTGTGTTACACATGTATTTTTGAGCAGTCAGTGGTGGAATAACTCCAGTCGAGAAAAATTTATCACATTTGGCAATGGGTCAAGAGCCGCGCGCGCAACATGCGCCGGAGATCCGCCTATATTTTTGGGTGTGATCCAATGATTGCTACTCTTATCTAAAAGTCGCCCTACTAGAGGGAACGTATCAGTCTAATACTCTTGCATCATATGCACCAGACCATTCACCAACTATTACTTTTGAAGCATGTGCGTTGCGCCTCAAGAGTTAAGATCTTTCGGAACGAAGCTGTTGCCAAAAGCGAGTGGAGGCATTTCGTGGGCTTGAACGTTTTTGGAGCAAGAATAGACGAGCTTGTCTCGATGGCAAATACACAGGGTAGACATAAATCTGGTAACAAAACGATTGTTTGCAGAAACCACGGTTCATATTGATACGTGGTGAATTCATGTGAGCAATTGGCTAGCATTACATCAACAAAATGGACGCACGGTCATCTGATATAAACGTCTTCTGTGCTGATTACAATTCGTGTTGTAAATAAATCAAAATATGGAATAATCGGTGCGTTGCGTGCTAAAGTCGCTTCGGCTACTCATCGACGGCGACTTCTTGAGAAGCTCAGCGGGCCTACATCAACGACTTCCCAGAAGCAGAGCAGTGTTGTGTTCTGAAGCGCATGCTTCCTCTCCAGTTTACACAATACCCATCGGCCCATTCGTTTGCGGTCGCGGAAACTCGTAGGGCAATTGACAAAGGGATGAAATTGCGAACATCCCCTCAGCACCAGTCTTGATTTTTCCCATTCGTAAGCAAGTGTGCCATAGTCTCTAAACCGTGTTCCTGGAATAGTCTTTGGCTTTAGCAGCACCTTCTCAGAGATTTCCTATGTGAAGACGCTTTGATTGAGTTTTATACTTTTCTAGACTAAAATAAGCGACATTTTCTGATGGCACAGATTCCGGCCCAATCCGTCGTAGGAAGGGGAAGTGGCTACGAGGAACGATCCGACCCTCCTCAATTTCTTCGTCAGTCGTGGTGAGAAATATACGGTACTCTAGGATCCGAAGGTTTCTTTACGCTGAATGTCTTCTTGCTTGAAGAAATTATGTCGAACCGCCTGCCGCGTGCAAGCGGGGCACGGCGCTTATTCTTCCTTCCAAACTTCTTCTCGTGGAAAATTCACAAGGCTTTTGAAACCTATCTGGATACAAATCTGTTTGCTCGGGGAATACTATTTTCACTGAAATATAACATACATTCGGCGGTCATTTCTCTCGTGTTTCTGCAAGTTTCGTGGTGTATTCATTCTTGAGCAATGGTATTCGGGATGGGAGGGGGGAGCGGTCGTAATCAAGATGAGACAACCGTCTTGAGGCTTATCGTTATTCTGTCCACAATTCAAGAGACCGTCATGCGAGAAATGTCGAAACGACGAGCGATCCCTGAAAAGGCCTACACCAGATGCGCGCTAACACGGAACGCCTGCTCATCGAGTGCGAGGCTTTGCCATTTTTCGAAAAACGACGAATTCAGAGCTCCAAAGCAGATATGTGAATAAGGTATATTGTAAACATACGAGAAGGTTCAGCTTTGAAAAACCCTTTTCTATCATATAATTGACTTTCGTGAAGCTGTGACCATACATATTTATGGCGCACTCCGTGGACAACTAAAATGGAATGTGTTAGTTCGTTTGAGAAAGTTCATTTGGAACATCTTTTCATTTGTAGCACCTCAATTTCGACGCTGACAAACACGCATTTTTTGCACAGTCGAAGATTTATAAAGGTTTTAGCAGCTAGTTTCCGTTTCGGAGAATGTACTCCGCAGTTTCAACTTTAGCTAAGGGATGTTTCTAAAAGTGTAGCATTGCTGTAACTCAGCTGATTTTTTTCTTTAGTTGAGTCATCTCAATCGTTGCAAATGAGTCATCCTCGTATAAAAGTTCTAGAGTAGCCTTCCGGAAAATTTGGAAAACCGCCGATACATTGTATACCAATTGGTGCTCATGCTTCGTGCACATATTGCTGCTGTGCTGTCTAGCCGTGGAATCAGCTTCTGGTCGATGCAACAAGTGATTCTCATCATTCTCGAATTATGAACCCGGTTGATTAAGATTGTTTTAGGACTCATTGTGGACCGAGAACTTTGTATCAATGGAAGTGGAAAAACATTATCCACACTCACAGTTGATATTTGATACAGTCGGCAACGATCAGGTGAGGCAGTATTCGTGAACGAAAAGGGAGTGTGAGTCCTACAAAACAGTTAGCCAACATCTTTGAGAACAGGAATTTTTGATAATGACAGTGTTGGGAAACAATCGCGAAATCCGAAAAAACGAAAATCTGCGTCGGGAATATTTAAGATGGATGTGCTTGGCAAAGCACGGAGGGCTAACAAAAAAGTTGTTATAGGAAGGCCTTGAAAACAAAGATTCAAAGAGAGTTTCGTGCTCATTTTGTATTCTAGAAATTTGAGCAAAACTGGTCATCACAACGCAACTCTTTGCAATCCAAACCTCATAAGCGACCTCTCAAGTAAAATCAAAGAGTTCGAAGCCCGTCAAGATCTCATCCGGGCACTCATTCGGCTGCCCTGGCCTTTTAAAGTCAAGTGTATTCCAAAACTCTCCAATATTATTTTTGCTTACCAAGCTTACCACTAGGCAGCTCCTTCAGAATGATTTCATGAGCAAGGTGAGCCGTGCTAGGGCTTGAGAAATTGCAGCACAACGAAGTATAAGGGAAAAATGCTAGACATTCTCAAAGGAGCGATTGATTTAAGAATTTAATAAGAGCCATGGGCATTTTGTGAAGAAATTCGAAAACTCACATTGCTTAGGAATTGCAAGCGTATCCTTTGCAAAAGTACTGTTTGCTATTCCATGTTAATTTTTTCCGAGTAAACTTGAACACCTTGTTGGTGTTCTCACGCTCACTGCGTAAGAGGCAGTACTCTTAAGAGCCCAGAACGCGATAATTTCGGGGTACGCAGTTGAGTGAAATATTGGAAATGGTGATGCGGAATTGTGCAGATGTAGCGCAGAATGCAGGCAAAGGAGAGCTTGAAACAAATAGAGAAGTAGGGAGTTGTACGAGATTATTACGAAAGAAGTGGCGTGTAAAGGGTATTTGGAAGAGGTACGGTTGTGTCAATGCCTTAAAATTTTGGCTACAGTAAGCAAAAATCGCTTTCCACCGTCGTCATGAGGCGGTGCTGCATGCATTCAAAGTCTTGGACTTTTATGTTGTAATCCTCCTCCACTGTTGCCAATTTGGTATTATTTTGTTATTATTGCTGTTTTCCTTTGTTTGTATCGTTGCTTCATAGTATCATTGTTTTTTCATTTGAATATTTAGCAAATCTGCTACAGTGCGGCTGGGCTTCTACATAGTCTTCGAAACACGACCACCCCTGGGTGTGATTTACAGTTTCGAGTCGTTATTGTGCTTTATATGGCCCTTTTTCGGCTGGACAGCGCTAGATGTGGCATACTTGTGGTCCAGGGTTTAAACTTAGAGGAAATATAGGAATCGAGTTACCTTCATCATGAACTGTGCCTTTAAGGATATTAGTGAGTCTCGGCCATAGCCTGAATGTCCATTGTCCATTCGAAGCTTTGGATCTGATAGTTCCAATTTATATTCACATTTATTTATGTTTTGGCACTATTTGATATATCATCACGAGACTTCCACTCTCTACTGGCTATATGTTTTGCCTGCATTTCTGTTATGATTAAGGCTGGATTTCAAGCCTGTAATACTAGTTGGGCTACGCACGCTAATGCGTGCACCACATGCCCACCAACGCTTAACTACGACTCAGTTAGTGGACCAATGAGGATCAATATAATAGTATCGGTTTACTTCCCATTTCCTAACTGTTTCCTCACCGCGCTCACGTGACATTCACGCTCTTCGTCGTATCTACGTGACTTTCGGAAGGACGCACAAACAGGCATACAAACAGACACATAAAATAACCGCTTGGAGATTATTACCGCTTTATATATAGAGAAAGAAGGACCGCCCGGCTAAGATTTAAGTGATAGGAAACCAAAGAATTGAATAGCACTCACAAATGTTCTCAAGTGATAATAACACCATTATCAGATGTCGTTATCACTGGACCTTCTTTCCTCCACGGGAACATCATTAGATGAGAATCCCAAATTATTATCGGTCGGATAAGCTTTGTCGTAAATGATATCAAAACATGAAGTAACCTTGATCCTCCACCGAATTACAAACCTTGCTGGGTAGCGGTCGTAATCTATATAATAGCCGTAATCATAAATATGTACATCGTAAATACCGCAAGAGTTAAATTCAGTTGGTAAGTGCTCTTATCAGTCTCTATCAGCTGTTATCAGTTCTTATCATTGGTCTTCTACGATCCCGCCATACTCCATATCACATGCCAAACAGTCAAGGCTCCACTATTAATGCCATTATTATAGTGACTCCACGCTTTCGAGGATTTTTATTAGCCCTTAGCAGTTTTGTCAGCTCCTGGCACTGCACCAACCATTCTCGAACTTGTCACCGAGTACCTACGATCTTGTCACATCTTACATCACCTATTGAAATACCAAGACTCCTCTAACAGGCTCTTAACAGGAGTGCGCCAAAGACCTACAGACCCTTCTATGGTTTCTTATCAACCCCTATCACTTGGTATCATTCTCTGTCACAAACCATTAACGGTCCCATCACATCCTACATCACCTATCAAAGTGCCAAGGCTTCATCGCCATTACGAAGGGAGCTACAGACCGTAAGGCTTTTGCTTTTTAAGGCTTCTTATCAGTTTCTACTGATTGTTGTCACTTCCTATCACTTATCATCGCTGTTTCTATCGTGCCGCCTATCTCTCTTTCGAATTTGAATGCTTTAGCCACAGTGGGACGGGAGTTATGAATTTCCGGTCGGACAAGCACACACATACTCATACACAAACACACCAACAGACACACTTATAAGGCCGATTATATAAGTAGGATGATGCCCTATTGCCGGAATCACGACATTATTACGAGACCTATCCTCCTCCCTGAAAGGTTCACAATCAAACCAAAATGCCCTTTCACTTTCTTCCCCTACTACCCACCTGCTGTCAAAGTCCCACCTATTTTTCATTACCTTACCAGAAAAGCTTCGGGTCAACCACGGATTGGTAGCCATCGAGCAGGCCAGGAGGCCATCGAAATCTGGAAATCGGAGCTCGAAGAAAAACTGCCTCCGAGCTTACTTATGGCTGGCCATTCAAAGGAGGTTACTGGGGAATGTGTGGGCTAATAATGACCGTTACAAAAAATTTGCCTGAATTAAGTGCTGGTTTTTGCTATTTTCTCAAAGTCTAAACTAAATCATAACAGCTGCATAGGATAAGTGAACTTTTTTTTGTAGAGCACCTTCATTACTCTAAAACGATGCATGATGTAATCCGTAAACGTGAGAAGGGAAGCTCTTAGAGGAGAAAATTCTCAAATTGACCAACGTCACTTCAGATACGGCCGGAAAGCTTCCGTCATGATCCTATACTGTATGTTACAGCGATGAGCTAGCTTTTCGAGTTTAGGCTTGGAACTGAAAATTGTAGAATGTAGAGGTAGAATATTTGAAGTCGGAATAAACACTGAGGTCCTTGTCCTTGTCCAAGCTTATGTCCGAGGATGCAAAACATATGAAAATTGGATGGAGCTAAGTTGGGGGACTGCGATTCCACTGTAGGGACAATTAGGGGGATCCGCAATCCGCACCATTGATGGCGTGGCAGAAGTGGAGCCATATTTCATCATTATAATGGGGAACAGTTGAGCACCTTTCATCTTAATTGCATTTGTACATGTTTTGAAAATAAGAAGAAGCCCTGAAGATTAAAACCATAATGAACACATCCGANTGAAAATTGGATGGAGCTAAGTTGGGGGACTGCGATTCCACTGTAGGGACAATTAGGCGGATCCGCAATCCGCACCATTGATGGCGTGGCAGAAGTGGAGCCATATTTCATCGTTATAATGGGAAACAGTTGAGCGCCTTCCATCTTAATTGCATTTGTACATGTTTTGAAAATAAGAAGAAGCCCTGAAGATTGAAACCATAATGAACACATCCGAAAGGCGAGCTCGTATGCAGTCAAAACCTAGAACTTCTGAAAAAGGATAGACTTCTTCTTGAGGTCCAGCTAGCGTGATATTGTTGCATACATACTCATCACAACACGGGCTAATCTCAATCGCAATGGATCGTGTGGCGTGACCCAATTAGCACGACGGTGAACTTGCAGAACACCCCTTCCCTTCTGTCCCCCAACCGATCGCTTTTTGAACCTTTCCTTGTATAGGTTACTTGTGCGGCCATTTCCAGTTGATTCGAAACTCTCTGTTAGTGACCATTGATGCTGTTGCATGTGGTTGACTTACACAACCCAACCCTCGAATCCAATAGCAATAACTTTGAAAGAAGTCTTTCTCGTGATAACTGTAGAAGGACACCTATCCCGCGATCGCGGGTGGCTTCGATCTATTCCATTCGGGAGCGCTTTCGACGTATGGACACAAGGATTTGGGAACTTATTCATTTTCTTCTCTCTTCTGAGCTTCTGACCCATAAGAAAATGTCAATAAAAGTGAGAATTGGATTCGGAACTGTTTTCACAACGTAATTTTTGCATTAATGCCCTTACTAAGGTTAGTATTGTTGCCGTACAAATTTGGTTGTTCATTGCTACAAGCATTCTCAACGAAGTATGCTAGAACCTTTACTCGATTTCGAGCTTCAGCTGTGGTTCCTCTGTCTACGTGGGCAATTTTTTTTCGTTTATGCTCTAGGCAACGCTGTGCTTCCGAATTTGAGTAAATGGTGAAAGTAGCAAATGAGGAAGCTATAGAACGGGACCTGTTCTGAGAAGCGATTCAGTGTTAGCCTAGGCTAAGACGGATCAGAATAGGAACGAGATTGCGCAAGAATGAAAACGATCCAATAAGAAAATTGATGATGTCGCAGGAGAGAAGGGGGATGTCAGCTATGTCCGGGATAGTTTCAAAAAAAAAAGGAATCGCATGCTCATGTGTAAGCTACATTGCAACGAAACATTGGAATTGCTTTGATAAATGACTTATTCTCTGCATCTCGCGACTAGCGACGTGTACTCTTAAAAAGTACGTGAGACGATTTCCCATTGAAGGTGCAGATGGCACATTTTTGGATAAACAAACATCAATCGCTCATTTTTGCGTCTTCTCACTATATCCTGAAGGAACACAAAAAGTGATTCCCTGATTCCCTTCCCTACACGCTTCCTCCGTCCGCGCCCAAGTAGATCTGAAGTGTTGGAGATTGAGGGCATCTCAGTATTTTCGGATTTCACTGTCGAATTATCGGGGTCTAAATGACGTGGAGTGTTCGAGAACAGCAGTTTTTTTCTCAGCTTACACCGATATGAAATAAATGGAAATGAAATGCTGGGAATTCGACGCCTCGAAAAGCTGCAAAAGAAATATTCGCAATTTTGGTCTTCGTGTAAAGAGTTGACTCAAAAACAGTGAGGGCAGCTTTTTCATTGGCGTCCGTGTTTCTTTGAAGCAACATTATCTGGCATTGCAATAATTTTGCTGAGCTGACGACCAAGATGTTATGTTCCATTTAGTGAAAAATACAATTTTTATTGGCAATTTCAAAACTCGATAATCAAGAAATTAAGTGAGATTGTTATGGTCAGTCACAATTTCGCTAAAATTCATTTTTTTCTAAACATGTGAAGCTGTACCAGCCATTTTTTGGAGGCTGTATAATTGACATGATCGTGGTCAGCGATAACAATTCCATGACTTTAGTTCTGCAGTATGTACAACAGGCTGGTACGGAATCTTCCCGCTCACTGAGAGGAAGAACACCCCTGTAGAAAAGACTATTCTTTCTATTCTAGGCATGTAGAGCTACCATAGTAATGAAGAATTGGTTGAATCATTCTTCACTTCTTCTCCTTCGGCATCCTGGAAGTAAGATTTTTGCTCTGGACATATAAAATTGCTCACGTTTCCTATCCATGCTCATAGCACCCCTATGAGCAAACATTGCTCGTGTGATAACTAGCACTTAACCTGCTGCTTCAAATTATCAGTTCGAATGATATCTACGCCAAGTAGCTACGCCTCAATCGTCGTGACATGCTCAATAACTGTGGAATGCGCACTGATTCACAAAAGCAATGACCAACCTCTTGTAGTAAGCTTGCCGTCTTGATGACTGTGTGGCTCATTGCACCCGCTGCCTGCAGTATGTGGTTTTCTGAACTGCTCATAACGGAACATCTACCAACAATCAATCACTTACACTTCCGGATGCTGATTTTGTCGTTTCTGAGTATGTACCTCCTAAGCTTGAGGATGAGAGATAGGTTGCGCCTGCTTTTCCAACGTCTGTGCGAGGTCTAGAGACTTTGAGTGGCTCAGGACTTCTAGTTGTGCGCGTAGTGCTGACTGTTTTCACTTTTTCGAGAACGGGTTTTTTGCTTTCGAGGGAAGCATCTCCGCCAACGGCTTCTTCCGATTCTCCTGTAACCCCTTGTTCTGGTTGTGCGGGAGCTACGAATGACGGAGTACTGGGAGTGTATGTGCCTAGAGCAGCTTGCACTTGTTCTTCTGGGCCTGCTTGTGCTCCACCAACAGCAGGATTTATCGATTGTGCTGACAGCTCACTGCCAGCACTAGGAAAGTTCCCCATGACGGGTCCTTGGCTTGCCACTGGACCAGCACCTGCATTAGCACCTACACCACCAACGAACTCATTGAAGTTGTAGTCGCCTCGTACACCTCCGCCCATCCCGCTTCCAGCGGATGGAATATTAGCTGGAACAGCATTGATCTGCGCGGGTGGGAAGTAGGGAGTCGGTGGTGCTGCTGGACCTACGTAAGGGCTCGCACGAACAGGTGCAGCAACTCCTGAACCGTACTGGGGTTGGACAACATTAGGAGAAGGTGCTATGGCAGGAGTCATAGGTGGTAGAACACTTAGGGGAAGAGAAGGACGTGATACTGTTGCGACAAGTGGTGGTGGTGGTGGCGGTGCGGCTCGAGGTGGCGGTGGAGGAGCATACACAATAGGCACAGCGGCTCTGAAACATATATTATTTTCAATTATTAGAAAGCAGCATACCTTTCAGAGAACTTACACGCAACCGGGAGCAGGCCCTGTTGGAGCGCACGTTGTCGGAGGAGGCGGGGGAGGTGTTGTTGTAGGGTAATGACAGCACAGTCCGGCACCGAAACACGCTTTCAACGGTGTGGCTGATAGACAAACGAGAACCAATGTGCGAATCTGAAATAACTTCGCTTTTTCCACCGGATCACCGTTTAAAGAACTTCCATAAAATATCTTGTGGAGCAGACAATCTGACGTCGTCTTTGAAACAGTTCAAAAAAAAAAGCCGCTCGATTGAAACTCCTTTAAATATTCACCATACTCATATAGCCGTTCGAGACAGCTGGTGCTCTGAGAATATCAGAAAGCAGATGGTGATGTTGCTTCTGACTGTCAAAGCAGGAGAACCGTGGGCGTGCAACCAGCTGCGTCTCTGATTATCACTTATATAGTCTTAAAGTGGCCGGATCTCATCGAATTCATCTCCCGCGTTCCGCTTATTTTTGTCACTGGACGAGAGCCAGGCGTTTCGCCACCACTGATACCTGCTTAAGTGCGTCTACCCAGAGTTGCTTTGCCCATTCTTCATCAAAAGTGATTGTTCGCTCGTTAGAAAGCCTGATTCAAAGTTTAGCTACTATTCGTGTCAATGTCCTAGGTACCATTCGTGCTCATGCAAGAAATCTGCAGGCGTAGCACTTGTATTTTACAAGCTACTCAGTCATTCACTTTCAGACGTGACCTTCAGTCTTGGCAATGTAGCGATGAATAAGCTCATTAAGTAGTGAGTGTAGAAAGATGTCGATTTGAAAAGTTTTCGATTATTCTACCATTCCAAAAGCTTTGCTCCCAAGGCTTATCCAGCACTCAGGTTTATAAGTTTTGATATTAATTCACGTAAAAGCTCATGTAGAAGGGAATGACAGCGTATACGATACTGTTTCTATTTTCGCAGGCCAGCAGAATGCCAATTAACCGACTACGAAAGAACGAGGTCTTCGGATGACGAGAAGCTTTTGTAAGTCCAAGGTATCACGGGAACTGCTTTCAACACGCTATAGCTGACAGAATTATCGAAATTCAATAATTTTGTACAGTTGTCTGAGCTCCAGATTACTTAGCAAGGAGCAAGCAAGCGAGAATTCTTCAAACTCGAGAAGACTATATCGTGAACAACAGCATATTGTTGCGTCCTTTCACAATTTGAGTTGATACACTTTTTGTTAGTGTGACAGGATGAGATATGATATTTGCAATTAATACTCCCTACTCATCTCAAATGATACGGCATTTGCTATCCCTGAGGACTTTGAGGATCACAGCAACGCATCCACAGAACGTGGGAAATAATGGGTTCTTTTTTTTTCTTCTTCTTCTTCGCATATCTTCTATATTATTCGAAGACACAATTCACAACTATTTTGAGGTAGCCATAAAACAAATAATGGAAGTGATAGTCTGAAATAGGGCAAAAGTAGCGAAGAAAACGCAAAAATCGGCATACTTAGAGAAATGTAAGGCTTCAAAACATAAGAGAAATAGAGGTTGAACGCGAAGGTGCCCTTGGATACGGGTCCGTTACCTTCTCCCCGAAAGTGACGCTGCGCTCATCGTCGCCCTCGATCGCCGGCGGTCGCGCGCAATGAAAGGAAAGGTTTGAGTTTCTAGTGAAAGGATACAGTAAGCGCCGCGTGACCACTGCCGCTTCGCAAGGAAACTCGGGGAGAAGTTCCGACACTCATTGGGTACAGCTACAGTACATAGCGCTCAAAAGTCTTCGGTGAAATGGTTCTTCAGCCGTACTTCTCAGTCTTAACTCCTTTCCTACTGGATCTAATCAAGCGAAATTTCGAAATGTCTAGCATGGGTGTATTGTGAATATTTACCACTATTATCTTGCAATCTGATCATGTTCCAGATATTCCAAAGAGCATGAACTCAAAATCGACTGAAAATACAGATGACGGGCCTTCTAGAATCTCTTTCCTTTTTGTCATGTCTGAAGTGTACGAGCAGTAATGCCGAACACAATAGATTAGAAAAGCCCCAATAAGGTGCAAGTAAGTGCAGGCGTCAACAACTTTACTTTTAGCAAAATCTGCTACCGCAACAAACACCTTGCTCTATCTGTGGAAATTGCAGCTTTGCAGTGAAATAGTGTTGGGTAGGGTGAAATATGCTCTAGTTAAACATATCCAAATTTTGCGCGATTCGGTCTACTAACAAAAAAGTTACGAACGAAACAGCGTCATAGCATTCCACCGAAGACTTTTGAGCGCTACTGTAGCTATAGTAAGCTGTACGTGTGCGTCCCTCAAACTTAAGGTCGTAAATCGTATTGCGTTTATATTGCTTCTCATATAGATATTTCACGAAACAATTTTTCTCGTGAACTGTGCCTTCAAAGAGGTCAGGGTAGACCAACTACTTTATATTCCATAAATTATACTATCGCTAAGGGTTCCAGGCGAACATTTGTGCTATGCACTGTTTTTATGGCCTTCAAAAAAAACTTCAATGTTTTCATAGGTTCTGTTCTTTTTGTGGCTCGGGAGTATGCACTCAAATCAAGCGTGTTAGTATAGAAAGAGTTTATTGTGTCGAACAACGAACATTCACAAACACGGTTTTTAATGGTGATGAAGAGGTCTTAGTGATAACCCTGCAGTGATACATAGTACAAGAAGTCTCGAAGCAAGTTTGAACATCCCTTCAGAAAAGTGCAATCTTAGTACCATCTCGCGTTTCGAGAATTTTCACCATCTGGCAAGCCGGATGTTCCACGCAATCTCTCCATGGCCCTCCGTCTCTTAATACATGATTATTGCAAGATAAATTGTGAGTTATACTTATGACTGCACAAAATGTGGTTCGTACTGCACGTCACAGTATTTATTCATCAGCTTTATTGAGGTAACCATTTCAACCTATTCAAATAGGGTTTGAGAATACCAGAGGGGCCAGTACGTTCTAGCAGCTGATGAAGAAGCAATGTTCCAATTGAATCATGCGATAAGGATGATCATGGCGAGATATCAGCACGCGATTCACTACAGCGGAGAAATCAAACGGTCCGATTGAAAAAAACTGGTTGAGCTAGAATAAAGTGCGAGAAGTGGGAGTTAACAGGAACGCTCTCAGAATATTGCGTCATCATTAGCCGAGGCTTAATTATTAGGTCGTGAAGAAAGTTCTTGCGGTTTTTGACGCCCAATATTCAAATGCTCGCCGCGATGTTATTTGCTATCAGATTTTCTGCAAGTTTTATATCATTCTGAAGCGCATTTCTTGCTCTACCCAAATATATAATTGGTTTTGCCCTGGAGTGATTCCTGGGGTTTTTTAGAAGGTCGAAATCAGCATGGACAAACGACAGATCCGCATGATTTTCTTTTCCAATCCAAATTGGGCAGGAGTGCGACAGAAACGGACCGGGATATCAACGATGACTTAGATCTAGGTACGATGAATCAACGCACAGCACAGTGGTGGTTTGAAAAATTTCGTATCGGTGATGAGAGCCTGGAAGATGATGAGCGCAGTGGGCGGCCATCGGCCGTTGGCAACGAACAATTCAGAGCG